CTCCACCCATGACCCTTAAGCAACACCCCCCATTTCCCTCTCCCTCAGTCCCTGAAAACCACCCTTCTACATCCTCTTCCGTGAATTTGACGTCTTTAGATATCTCAGATAAATGAAATTATGGAACATTGTCTCCGTGACTGGCTTATTTTCCTTGCAGTGATGTCGCCAAGGTTTATGCATATGCTATAGCGTGTGATGGAGTTTCCTTCCTCTCGAGACTGAGTAATATTCCGTTACATGGATGAGTCACATTTTGGTTCTTCATCAGGCAATGGGTGTTTGGATTCCTTTCATATCTGGACTCGTTTGTTTAAAAAAGTCATCATAATGGGTGTGAACTGATATTTTTTGTTTGCATTTTTCTAAAGTTTAGTGATGTTGAGTATCTTTTCATATACTTCTGGCCATTTGTATATGATCCTTGGAGAACTATTCAAATTTCTTGCCCACTTTAATATCAGGCAATTTTCAATCTGTACACATTTATTCTGCACACTAACCTTTATTAGACATGTGATTTGCATTTACTATTTATTTGTAAGCTATTTTCTTAGTAGTTCTAGGGGTTGTAATATAATCCATTTCAGATGAATACAATAAATCTGAACTAGCTCAAAAACTTTTCCTTTTTGTAAGTATTATGTAGATTGTAGTTATTCTATAGATCCTACATTAGTGATAAAATTATTACTTTATGTAATCTTCAATCTACTACCAAAGGTTAAGAACACATCATACAATTCTTTATCATTCTTTTTTCCATTTCTTTGTAAAGTAAAAATATGTGGAATTCATTTCTTTGCAGCCTGAATAATTTCCTTTAATACTTCTTGTAATGAATTCTTTTTTTAATTTAGTTTATTTACTTATGCATATAGAACTGGGGTGCAGGCCAGAGGTGCGGGGTGGTGAGAGGATTCACCAGAGACAAAGTGGGGAGCAGAACAGGCAGATCGATGAAATACACTGCTGAGGGGAGCAGCGGGTGGATCAGGAGAGGTCGGCTGCACCATGTGGATCACCTCTGGGGCTGGGATTGAATCCACACTGAAGCGGCTGAATCCTAACCCATTGCATCACCAGGGAGGGCCCTATTCATCTCAGTTTTAAGGACAGTTTTTTTAAGATGTATGATTCTCAGTTGACTTTTTACTGTAGCACTTCAAAACTTGAGGTGTTAACGTAATGACTCAATGTATGTATATATTGTGAAATGATCACAATAAGTCTAGTTAATGCCACATATGGCTAGGTTTTTTTTCTGTGATGAGAACTTTATGTATATATATAATAGTTTATTTTTATATCATTTTGTGCATTTTTCCATCTCAGTTGTAATCCCTGGGGGCTTCCCATCACCAAATCACCCATGTGCCATCACCATAGTCCAGTGCATTTCCCTCCCCCCACTGCTTTTGATCCCATTCCCCACTCCACCCCCACAAATTGTCTCTGGTATACAGCTGTTCATCATTATCATTATTTTCTCACCTGTTCCGTAATATTCCTGCTATGAGAGAAACCACTGTGATGAGAACTTTTAAGAACCACTCTGCAACTTTCAAATATACAATACAGTATTAACTGTAGTTTCCGTGCCGTATGCTAAATCTTAATTATTTTATAATTAGAAGTTTGTAACTTTTGACTACCATCACCCATTTTGCCCACCCCCTACCTCTTCTGATAACTGCCAATCTGTTCTCTACATCTATGAATTTGGTTTTTGTTTAGTTTAAATAGTACATAGAGGGCCCTCCCTGGTGGTGCAATAGGTTAAAGCACAGCATTAAGAAGTTAAAGCCACTTCAGCATGAGTTCAATTCCCACTCCGGAGGTGACCACATGGTGTGGCAGACCTCTCCTGACCCACCTGCTGCTCCCCTCAGCAGTGTACTTCATTGATCTGCCTGTTCTGCTCCCTGCTCTGTCTTTGGTGAATCTTCTCACTGCCCCTCTACCTCTGGCCTGTACCCCAGTTCTGTATGCATAAATAAATAATTCTTTAAAAAAAGGTACATATAGGCCCTCCCTGGTGGCGCAGCGGGTTAAAGTACAGCACTGAGAAGCTAAAACCACTTCTGCATGAGTTCGATCCCCGCCTGCCCCGGAGGTGACCACATGGCGTGGCAGACCTCTCCTGACCTGCCCGCTGCTCCCCTCAGCAGTGTACTTCATAGATCTGCCTTTTTTCTCCCCACTCTGTCTCTGGTGAAGCCTCTCACCGCCCCTGAACCTCTGGCCTGTACCCCAGTTCTGTATGTACAAATAAAATAAATCTTAAAAAAAAAATAGGTACATATAAGTGAGGGTATATGGTGTTTTCTTTTTCTAATTTATTTCACTTAAAAAGATGACCTTAAGAGTCATCTATACTATTACAAATGGCAGTATTTCTTTTTTATGACTAATGGAATAACATTCCATTATGTGTCTATAAGCCCTGTTTGTTTATCCTTTGATGAACACTTAGGTTGTTTTTAAGAAGATCTTAACTATTTTAAACAATGCTGCAGTGAATATGGTATTGTTGATTCTTTGTTGTTTTATTTTCTTTGGATGAATATCCAGAAAATAGAATTGCTGAATAATATGGAAGGCCTATTTTTTATTGTTATTTGAGGAGGCTTAATACTATTTTTCACAGCAGCTGAACAAATTTGTATCTCCATCAAAAGTAGTTTCCCTTTTCTCCACAACCTTGCCAACACTTGTTATTTCTTGTCTTTTTTTTTTTTAAAGTAAATTCTTTTTTTTTTTAAAGTATTTATTTATGCATACAGAACTGGGGTACAGGACAGAGATGCAGGGGCTGTGAGAGAAGTCACCAGAGACAGAGTGGGGAGCAGAACAGGCAGATCGATGAGGTACACTGCTGAGGAGAGCAGTGGGCGGGTCAGGAGAGGTCTGCCGCGCCATGTGGATCTCCTCCGGGGCAGGCGGGAATCGAACTCATGCTGAAGTAGCTTAAGCTTCTTAGTGCAGTGCTTTAACCCACTGCGCCACCAGGGAGGGCCCATTTCTTGTCTTTTTTTATGATAGTAATTCCAGCAATTGTGAAGTGCTGTCTCATTGATTTGTATTTCTCTGATTAGTGATGTTGAGTACATTTTCATGCATTTGTTGGCCATCCCTATTTTTTTTTTTAATCTATGCAGGTCCTCTGACTATTTTTTAAAAAGATTTATGTATGCATACAAGAACTGAAGTGTAGGCCAGAGGTGTGTGTTAGGGGGGAGGGGTGAAAGGACTCACCAGAGACAGAGTGGGGAACAGAACAGGTAGGTCGAGTGAAACACACTGCTGAGGGGAGCAGTGGGCGAGACAGGAGAGGTCTGCTGCCCATGTGGGTCAGCTCCCTGGCTGGGGACCAAACTCAGGCTGCAGCGGCTGTGATAGCTTGATAGTGTGCCACCAGGGAGACCCTACTTCTACCATTTTTTAAATTGAATTGTCCTTTTGCTGCGGAATTGTCTTTATATATTTTGGATATTAATCCTGTATCAGCATATGACTTGCAATATTTTTTATCAACTTTGTATTTTCCCTTTTCATTTTGTTGATGGTTCCCTTTGCTATGATGCTTTTAAATATGATGCAGTTCTAGCTTTTTTGTTATTGTTGTTACCTTTACTTTTCATGTTCAATCCAAAAAAATCATCGCCAAGATCAATGTGGAGTTTATTGCCTATATTTTCTTGTGTGAGTTTTATGGCTTCAGTTTTTATGTGCAAGACTTTGATCTATTTTAAGTTGATTTTTGGCATATGGTGTAATACTGTGGTCAACTTTTTTCTACACCATTGTATTTGTAGCTCCTATGTTACACATTAATTGACCATGCAGTCATGTGTTACTTTATAATGAGGATACATTTCAAGAAATGTGTCATTAAGTGACTGTTGTATGAAAATCAGAGTGCAAATGCATATATCAAATGATATAACCCATTACACACCCATTGAGACCACCATTGTATTTATGATCATCTTTGATTGAAATATCATTAAGCAATGCATACATTTACATGTAGGGTTTTTTTTCTGGGATGTTCTATTGTACTTACTAATCAGACTGTTTTTAAACTAAATACAACACTATTTTGTTGACAATAGCTTTATTATATACTTCAAAATTAGGAAGGTGTGACTCCAGCTTTGTTCTTCTCATGATTGCTTTTGTTTTTTGGCATCTTTTGTGGTTCCATACAAATTTAGGATTGTTTATTCCACTTCTATGAAAGATGGCATTGGAATATTTGATAGGGATTACATTTAATCTGAGGGTTGCTTTGGGTAGTATAAATACTTTTAATATACTAATTATTCCAGTCCTTGTATGGGATGTTTCTAATTTATGTCATCATCAATTTCTTTAATTGATGTCTCATAGTTTTCAGTGTAGAGATCTTTTACTTCCTTGGTTAAATTTATCCCTGGGTATTCTATTCTTTTAGATGCAATCACAAATGATATTGTTTTTAGTTTCTCTTCCTAATATCTGATTGTTAGTATGTAGAAACAAAACTGATTTTTGGAAATTGATTTTTACATCCAGCTACTCGACTGAATTATTATACAAGTTTTTTAGTCGTCTTTATAGAGTTTTCTACATGTAATACATCTGCAAGTAGAAATTTTACCTCTTCCTCCGATTTGGATGCCTTTCTTTTTTCTTGCGGAGTTGCCTGACTAGAAGCTCCTGAGTTACATAAAAGAAGAGTGGGCATTCCTGTTCCTGATCTAGAGGAAAGGCTTTCAGTTTTACACCATTGAGTGTGACGTTAGCCACGGCTTGTCCTGTATGGCTTTTATTATGTTGAGGTATATTTCCACTATACCAGTCAGTTCCATGTTTTTTAGATTTCTTAAAGCCACACTGTCCCTGATAGTACATATTGTTTCGGTCTTAGGCCATTACGGCTGCTATAACAAGACATCACAGACTGAGAAGCTTGTAAAGAACAGAAATTTATTTTCTAATTTCTGGAAGTTTGATATTAGTGTGCCAGCTCAGACAGGTGAGGGCTCTTTCAGGTCATTGTGTCCTCACATGGTGGGGAGGGGAAAGGATCTATATTATCCTTTTTATAAGGCACTAGAATCCTGTTTATGAACATCCACCTTGTGACTGAAGCACCTCCCAGAGGTAGGCACAAATGCCTAGAGACTAGCCCTCTATCCTGCTCTCGCGGGGCGAGAACACACTGAGGAGGGCTCTACTGAGGAACACTCGCCTTCCGACGACAAGGAAGGGCATGGAGGACCCGCCAGACAGATTTTGCAACTAATGCCCTCACTTGGTCCATATTAACTATTAAGGTCTTTTTCCACGAAGCCACATGCGATCCTTGTTATCCACATTTCACCAAGTTGAGGTGTCAGGAGCATGCCCCTGGACAGGAGTGAGGGACGGGCTGTGGCTCCAGTGGCCAATTGGTTAGCGTGCGGTCCTTACAAGGAGTGAGGGGCCAGATATTTGGACCTAGCTCAGGCTTATTCCAGTAGCTGTGCTCGTTCAAGTGGCTATTGGAGGGACCTGCTGGTATTGACAAGAATTTGGTTAGCTTTTTCCAAATTTAGGGTTTGGATTTCCCTAGTTGCTCCTGTCTTGACTCCTCTCCCCACCGTCCCCCCCATCCTCACCATTTCTGATCATTCCAGATGGCGGGTTGTAGAATCACGATGTTGGGATCGAGGCCCATCAATCATCCCACTCTGAGTACTGGCCTGGGTCACCTCCTCACAGCTCCTAATGGGCGATTCCAGGTTCCCTCGGAACCGAGACTGTGCTTTCATCCTGCCCCTCCAATCACAGGGAACCCCATGTTTCAGAAGATCAAATTTCTAAGATACCACATGTATAAAGCAGACCTGGTATCAGTATTAACTTGGCGCTCCTGGCCAGCACCGTAGCTACCCACTTCCTGAGCCGGTAAATGTCATCCAAAGGCAAGGCATAGCGAATCTCTGCTGCCTGCCGAGGCATGAGTCTTATTCCCAAAGACTCTGTGCCCCTGGGAAGCCTGGGCGAGCCTCCCGGCTCAGGCACATCCACGAGCTCAGCTTGGAGCCAGCTCCTTGTCTGCGTCATCCTGCACCCTCAGGCTGCTTCCCAGACCTGACAGACCGCAGACCACTAAAGGCGCCCACGCTCCTGTCCAACACACCTCCTTCCAGCCTCAGTGTTCCAGCAGCTAGAACTCTCCATGCTCTGTTACTTTTTCAAATGTCATGGTCTCTCCTCCCCCAAGAGCCAGCTATGCTCCCACACGTCTAATGTCCCTGGATAACGTAGCAGAACTGGTGCCATGTGGGACACGCTGCCTCACTGGCCCAGCCGGAAACCTTCCTGCCAGCGGGCGTCAGCGCTTACTGTCTGCACTGTGGTCAGGACAGGCCAGGGGGTCACCCTAAGAAACCAGAGTTTAGGTGGGGGTGGCCTTCCAACCCAGACTCCTTAGGCATCACCACAGCCCGGCAGGGGCTGTGCGTGTCAGGAGGGCCGCAGGGATGGACACCTGCTTTGACACCATGTCCTGGGTCCAGGACTCGGTCCCAGAACCCTCACTATACAGTCTTCCCCTCTCACCCCAGAGAAACAGCAAAAGGACTTTCCTTTTGTTAGATAGAAGCCAGCACTCTGTACCAGGCCAGTGCCAGAGGCAGACTCTCCTGTCATTCATCTTGCCCACCCATGTTCCCCAGAGCTGGCAACAGGTGGGGCAGAGTAGGGGCCGCTTAAACTCACAGCTTGGGGCCCTTTCTCATCCGCCTGCAAGGGCCAGAGCCCCAGGCCTGTGCTAAGCCCTTCCCCAGAGCAGCAGCTGGGCAGAGCGCTCACTCCCCTGGATCCCAATCTTCTTCCTCCCCTTCCTGGGGCACCTAGCTTAGGGGGTTCAGATGGGTGTATTTGAAATGCAACCTTTCACTTCACTTTGGAAACAGCCGCCCTTTGCTTGGCTCGCAGAGGCCAGAGCTGCCTCGCTGCGGCCAACACCTTCCTTACACGTGCCGGGGCTGGCCTGTGTTCCTGCTGCAAGTACATGGACTCGGGAGAGCTTTCCCCTAGAAAGGGAAAGTGAGGGGAGACAGATCCTGGCTCCACTGCCCCTCTGCCTTTCTGTGCCTGAAGTTACTGTTCAAAATTCCTTAGGCTGCAGCTTCAGAGACTAAAACCTCTGAAGGTGTGGCTCAGCTGATGCCTGAAAATGGTTTGCTATCCACCTACTGGAGCCAGGCACCCCGCTGCCCACTAAGCGGGGCAAAGCTTGGCGCTCACTTGGAGACCACTCGGCCGCGGGGCGCTGCCCAGGGTGTGGCTGTCGCAGCGGCGTCCGGTGCCCATGGCTGGCTTTATTTTCTGGATGGGGGTTTGCCCAAAGCGGGCCGACGACAAGGTGGCTGGGCACGGCTGAAATGACAGTGACTCCTCTACAAATATGGAGGTTTATTTTAACAAAATGTGGAAAGAATACATTGGACTGAAGCTCTTTGCTCATCAGGGCCTGCGTCCATTGACTTCTCCATGAGACTCGTGGAGGCCGCTGCTTCGTGAGCAGCATGGACAGACCACACGGCCGGCTCAGCTCCAGCAAGCCCTGGTCGGCTGGTCCTTTCTGCGCCTCCTGCCTCAGTGCCTTGCACATGGAAGGGGCTGTGGGAATAGCAGGCGGCCTTCCTTCCTCCTTCCCGACTTCTCCTTAGGAAAAGCCGGGCCCTTGGCAAGCCGGTCAGCAAGGTGCCCTGGGGGTAGGCGTTACCGTCCAGCAGGGAGCCGCATTCAGGTGTCTTAATCGGGTGGCAGTGCAGCAGGAGGCTGAGCGAGCCATCTGCCTCTGCCGAAGACCAGCAAATACAGGCCAGGCCGAGGGGTACAGACCCGCCCTGGGGCGTGGGGGCCCCGCCCCGCCCTGCCCCTCCCCTGCCCGCTCTCCTCCACGGGTGCAGACGGGCAGCCAGGCCGAGGCTCCGAGGCAGTCAGAGTGAGCTGGCCACGCAGCACTGTCCCGTCCAGAACTGGCGAGGTCCTCTGTATGCCGTGCCCAGAGAAGGGGCACACGGATCCTCCTTGAGAAAAACTAGAGTTAAGGCTCCAACCTGCAGCTGGGACGGGCGAATCCACCCTGCCCCGAGGACTGAGCGGCCTTCTTCGCGGTCATTGGTGACAAGCCAATGAGTTGCTCTGCAGGAACTGGACTCTCAGAGCCCTGACCACTCCCACGCCTGTTCTAGGGACGCCAAGGGGGGGCTTGCGAGCTCTTTCCTTGAATAAACTACAGATACACCCCAGCTGCCCCCCATGAGGAGGCCCCAGTGAGCTTGGAAGATCGCAGCACCATGACAATGATAAATAATCTTAAGGTCACATGGATTTTGTGTTCCTGGAGGCCTCACACCCGGGAGGTCCGTTCCTGATGCCAGCACACAGCTGTCACCAAGGTTCCTTTCAGTGGCTGTGGGGAGACCTGTTGCCTGTGTACATTCTAGGAAAAACAAGACCCAAAGACGGGGGTGTCGGCAACTAGCCGAATGGTGACCAGTGACTCTGCAGGCACTGTGACCTCTTGTAGTGACCAAAGCCCCAGGCTTACGAGGAACGGCCTTCCAGGGCCGGTAACGGGAGACTGCCGGCTCCCTGGCTGGCACGAGTCACCAACGAGTCACCAGTTTCTGTCAGCAACAGGGAGGGCAGCTCCTCGGCTGCAGCCTAGCCGTCAGGACCCCTGGCAGAAGGCGGGGCCTTGCGGCTCCCAGCAGGGGCAAGAGCAGTGACATGCAGGGTACTGGGGGGTGGGGGTGGGGGAGGTTATACATGTTTCCATTTGTTCCAGTAGCACTCAGCCCCGTGGAGGCCTCCGAGGTGACCAGCAGTGACTCAGCCTGCATGTTTGGATGGTGGTTTTACCCCCGGGTGCTTGCAGAGGGTGCAGGTTTTGTGCTCATCTTTCTTCATGACCAGGTACTGGATGAGAGCAAAGTGTTTCCTGTGCTGAAGTGGGGGGGTGAAGAAACACTGCACTTGAAGCTTCCTCCCGAGATGGGAGCTGGGCCCAGCCCTCCTCTGCTGCCTATGGCTGCAGGCTCATGGGGCCAGGGGCGAGGCAGCTGCTGGCTGCGGGCAACAAGCCCCCTTCTCCCTGCTGGGACCAAGGGGCTGTGAGAAGGGGGGTGGGGGAGGAGGGGGCGCCTGCATTTGTGTTGTAAGACCTCATGGTACGTGCATGTACCCTTCATTGCCTTCTGGAGTCTGGCACTGGGGGAGATGACTGGAGTCCCAGCCAGATAATAAATACTGAGTGGAATAGAAGACTGGAGGGGACTTTGTGACCCCCCCCAACCTCAGTGTCACGCATGATCTGCAAATGTCTGGGGAGAAACAAACGCTACTGACTGCAGCGCTGGGTCTCCTGTGCCTTCTAATTAGTGTTCAGTCATTAAAGGCAGCTCTAGCCCTATGTCCGGGGCGGGGCAGGGTGGGCAGGAAGCTCCTCCTACGTCGATGGGGAGTCCATCGTGGAGAGGATTCGGACGACTTCTGCTCGCTGGGTGGGTGAGATGTGCTGGGTCATGTGGACGATGGAATCCATGGCAACCTCTGGATTGGCCTGGACCAAGCTGGAGGGGAAGATTTGGGATGCTGAAGGAGAGAGTGAGGCAGGTCCCTGCCAGCTAAACCTACTCAGTGCCCAGGACCGCTGTAGTCACCCTCTCACCTGACTTGTTTTTCTACATGAAAAAGCCCCTAGCAGCATGGTAGGTATGAGATGAACCTGAAGTAGCTCAGAAAGTTAGCAGGCAGATGGGCCTCCCTGGTTGGCCTAGGGGGTTAGGCTCAGCGCCATCACCATTGCGGCCTGAGTTCGAGCCCAGACCAGGGAGGTCAACACCATCCCTGGCGCAGCAGGCCTCTCCTGCCTGGCCGCTGCTCCCCTTAGTGGTGTATCTCAGTAAGTCTGTCTCACCCCTCTTTCCAGCTCCCCTTGTTCACCCCTCCCCTCACTCCCCCCCTCCCCTTGTTCACCCCTCCCCTCCCCCCCCCTGTTCCCCCCTCCCCTCCCATTCACTGATGATGATGATGAAGTAAGGGGAGGGGGAAGAAACTCATAGTAAGGGGGACTCATTGAGGCCCTGTCTGCTGCTGCTGCGTCTGCAGAAACATACTACATACTTTTTTCATACTTTTTTCATTCCCCAGTCTGTGATTCTGTGATTCTGTGATTGCCGAGGGTGCCTACAACTGCCACAACTTCCTCTTATAGGAGACAAAGGGGGAAAAAAAGCATACAAGGCAGAGGGCCTCCCTGGTTGGCGTAGGGGTTAAGCACAGCGCCATCACCACTGCAGCCTGAGTTCGAGCCCCAGCCAGGGAGCTGGGAGCTGCCGCGACCACGGTGGTGCAGACCTCTGTCTTGCCCGCTGTTCTATCTCTGGTGAGTCCTCTCTCTGGTGAGTCCTCTCTCCCCCCAAATTCCACCTACACCCAGGATCTCATATAAATATGCATTTTTTCAAATGTTTTTGAGAGGGCGCAAGTACACGCAGAAATAAGCAGATGTGGCACACTGGAATGAGAGGCACATCTGGATATGTTGTATATGTGGAAACATTGTGACCAGAGGATAAAGCCCCCCAGTAGTGCCCCCATCCCGACGTGCCTGGGACACAGCATGTAGTCAGCTTTGCGCACAGAACTGCTCTTCCAGTCAGAGGGTCTGCATTTGGAGCTAATAGCTGGGCACGATGAACTAAGCCTTCATCTACTTGAGATTACTAAGGGCCCCTGGGGACCAGTAGCTGAGGAAGAATTGTGCTTCAGGGCTCTATTTTCATCTGTGGGTCAACAACAGCAGTCTCAGACAGAAGGAGAGCACGAAGATCACATAGGCAGCATTATCTCATGATTTGTTCTTAAATTTTCATTCCAAAGAAGTGAGTCCCGCTGCTTCTACAGGGGAGTCCCCCACGGCAAGTCTCACCTGCGGATCTGCTTGAGGACATAGTCTCTGCTGATGTATTTGATGTTTTCCTCTATGACTGAGCGGACGCCATCGTCCTCTGTCAGCTGTTTCTCCAGCCACTCCACCAGGTCCTTGTTGTTGTCCCACACGTAGGCCTGCAGAGAGGTGGCTCTGGTCAGACCCCGGGGAACAGGCCCAGCTGACCACCTTGCCCTCTCTGTAGCTGCACTTCAAACATCTGTGACTCTGTTACTGTTGGTTTGAGAAGAGGAGCCAGGCCCCAGCTGCCCTCGCTGGCCTGTGATGTGAGATACACGCACGCTGGTTTACACCCTGTGACTTGGGTCCCAGCAGACTCCAGGTCTCTACTAGTCCTCAAAGGCTAAGAAAACTCCATCCCTGACAGCTTTGGGAGGGACAGTTTACAAGCCCAAAGTGTTTTTGGTGACCTGAGAGGGAAAGGTGGTAGTTGGGGGGTCTGCTTCTGGGGGACAGGGACACCCTGAGGTGTAATGCCCTCCCAGCCAGCCCCGGCAGAGTAGTAGCAGCTCAGGGACCCAAGGGTTGATCCATGGTCTTCCTCTAAGGCACAGAGGGGGGGTCTCAGGGCAGAGCCACCAGGTGCGAAACCTAACCCCCATTTTACTTTCCATGAGCGTATTCAGAAGGGTCAAGACGCTGTAACCCTGAAAGTCTCAACAAACCACCTCTCACCTCCCTCTTTTTCAAGATCATTTAGCTGAGTATTTCCAAGGTAGTTGACTACATAATAATTCAGGAGTGTGTTAGAAACCTAATAGCCTTCTCCTTGCTCTCTTCGCCTCTCATTTTCTTTACAAATCATTTAGGAATCGTTTTGTTAATGGTTTCCGGAAAACCAAGTACCACCATTAGGGCTCATTCATATTTATGTCATTTTGTTTGGGTAATTAAACACAAAGCTCGTCATTTAAAGGTGCGCTATCCTTCTCTGTTATCACTAACGAAGTCAAAGTCAGAATGACAATGAGTTTGGCGCTGTAATTTAATAGGTGGGTGCTTAGGGGCTCCCAGAGGCCTGAGACAAGCTCAGGAAGCCTGTGACCACAGATTCCACAGAGCCCCCCGCCCCCCAGGGCCCCATGCCACCTCCCAGGGGCAAAAAACACTGCACACTGTTTCCTAACTTTCTATTTTTGTGTGTTTAAAAATAATGGTTTCTCATTAGATGCTCACCCCCACGCGCCCCCCTTCCCCCTCAGCTGGTGAGCTGGCTGTGACTGGGTACTTATTATTGCCATGTAATCGACTCGCACATCTTCTAACAATTCTTAAGGAGTCCTTCACAGTTGAAGGATTGAGGGCCAGTAATGCACCTTTCATAAGTCTGTCAGACTCTCTTCCTGGACCTAAGGTTGGCCAATGCTGTGTAACTACCTATAAAAAGACGAGCCCCTCCCCTTCCCCCCGAAGGCCCCCGAGGCGGGAGTGGCCAGCCCTGTGAACCTGAGCCCACCTCCATCCCTCCACCCAGGTCTGAACTGCTGACAACTGAGGCTAAATGGTGGGTGGCCTGGTCTGCTCTTAGGGCGTGCTCAGCCGTCATTGCTGGGCTGGGGTGCTGTGTGCCCTAGGTGCGCTTGTCTGAACTGGACAGGTGTGTGCACCTGGACTCAGCATGCCCTGGGCCCTGGCTCCCGTCCCCACTACTGATGATGCAGACTTCCGCTCATTTATGAAGATTTGGATGGGGGATAAACTAAAACAATGAATGTTTCTTGGGTTTCAGAATGGGGGAAAAAAAAACAAGAAACACTAGATTTACCCAAGAATCCCAAAGCCTTTAGTTTAGGAGAATATTTAATACTCTTATTAATCATTTTTAATCCGTTTGCTTTTAATTAAGAAACAGCATGATGCTTCCCTATCAACATATGCCAGGGAGCAGATTAATTGTGGCTTAAGATAACTCTCCTTGATTGGAGTAGTGTATTAGCTAACGAGATGCCTGCTTCTAACGGCGCTCACACACTACACGGGAAAGCCGGCTGCCCTCTAGAGAAAACTACTCTGCCTCCCCTCCTGCAGCCACAGAATATGCTAGGTGTTTAAGCCAAACATTAAAGTTCCCAGGTAGGATTAGAGCAACACATTCCAAGTTTGGGAGTTGCTCCAAAGTTTCCCTTTTGAAAATATGTGGTCCCTAACAAGAAAGAGATGCTGTTTGCTCAAACTACACTTGGATGACAACCCTAAGCCAAAAAAAGTTTAATCGCAGAGCAGAGCACCAAAGAAGAGGGGCTGACTGTTCTCAGCAAGAGTAAGTAGACAGACTCACTCCCCACAGAGCCACAGGCATTTCAGACCTGGGGTGGGGGTGGGGGGGCGCGTCATCTGCTCCGTCTGCCCTCACAGAACAGAACTGCACGGCTCATCTTTCCAGCCACCTGCAACAATGAGCCAGCCCTATTCTCACCAAAAAGCCATTACCATTTCCCTCTAGAAGATGTTGAAAATGCGACTGATTATTCCCAGAGTTCTATGGGCATTTATTTTAAGCAGGTGTGAAATGTCTTCTTCATGACGGCCCAGGCCACATGTCACCTGCCCACATGTGCTCCAGTCCGAACACTTTAACACCAATACAGAATCAATAATGAGACATCATTACAGTGGCCTTGCGACACTCAGCAGACATGATCTCTCTGCATGAACTGGTAAGTATCTCGCCCTGCTCAGCTGCGCTAATTATATGTCATAATTAGTCTATCTTACAACATCTAAATGACTTGTTCAGAAAGTTTCATTTCCAAGCACTGCTAGCTGTTAAGCCTTCCTTACTCAACGGTACGGCGGCACCGAGGAGCAACCAGGACAGGCCTGATGGATGTGAGCCGTGTCGGCCATGTCCACAGACGGCTCACCTGTGGGCCATCGGAAAGGGGTTTCCCTGAAGCCATACAGTAGCCAATTGCTCCAAGAGCAGGTCCTGGGGGGGCCTGATGGACCCCACTCAGCCCAGAACTAAGCAGTTTTCCAGGTTCTGGCTCATCTCCTTCCCGGGGCTAAACCAGGTATTGGGTGAGACTTGTCCATGGGTCAGTTAAGACCAGGCTTTGGGGACAGTGGAAATCAAACAGGTCAACTAAAGTGGCTTTTCCCTCTATTCCCCTCATATTCAGTGACTGTTGATCTCACTTGAAATCCAAAGCAAGAGCGAATGGGTAGCTGCATGTCAGCACTGCTGTATCCCAGCATCCCGGAGTGTGGGTATATTAGAGCAAGCCAAGTCCAAGAACATTACCGAGAACCTACTGTGCTCATAGAACCAGCCCCTTTCCTGCTAAGATTAGCAAGTAAAACATGTATAACTCTTAGTCTGTGTTATTTTCTTACCTTCTGACACACTGGCATGTTTTAAGGACCTTGTGTTTTCTATACCAAGTCATTTAAAACTCCCTGAGCCCTGATACATAAACCCCAACCCTGTTGCATACGTGAGGGATGGAGATTTAAACCAGGTAGCCAGGCTAGTAAATGGCAAGCTGAGATCCAGAAAGCTTGGGAGATTCCCAAACTACTCATCTCACTACTGCATTCAGAGTCGGTCCTAATCTCAACTTCTATGTCTGAGGTTTGCGGGGGGAAAATGTCTTCGAGAAACCACACACCTCAAACTGTATCTAAGAATCAAGAGAAAACTTGTCCATAAAACAAAAGTGTACCACATCCTTACAACTCAATGTAAATCTAACTACTTCTTGTTTCCAGGGAGCGGTAGTGATGCTTTTCTTCTGCCTGCAGGGAAACTATGACCCACAAACACTACTCTTTTCTGCAATAGGGCCGTCCCAGTGGAACCAAACAGAAATCCCCATAACACATGGTAACAGATTCCTCTCAGGGAAACAAAAAGAATTACACTTCTGAGTTCTATAACATCACAATGTCTTCAGATTCTCTGTCCTGGAATCTTACTTTTCAGGATTAAGATTAAAAAAAGAACACACAGCATGGCTAACAGATGCTACCTCCAAACGTCTTGCCCTGCCAGAAACAATAATGATTAGAGGGGCACTTTCTGGGGCAAAGCCAGTGTCTAGACTTGGTCAATATCTGGACTTGAGACGCTGCATACAATATCCATCACTGCTTGAAGAGCCAAAAAAAAACACAAAGGTTTCAAGTCACTCCCGGCACGGAGCAGATTCCACGCCAGCCCTTCAGAGGTGGCACAGCCGGCTTTTGAACACACACCATTTTCTTCCCTCAAGGGCGCTGCAGATTTTATCACCCACCCCACACTAAACTAGGTCCTGCTGAGCCTGCAGAATGTGGAAGGAGGTTTCAAAGCTGCATGATGAGCTAAGTCGCCCTCCTAGCTCTCCTTGCTCGTCCTCGTGGGACTGGAGCTCAGCACGCTCTGTCGAGACCGGCATGGGAAGTGGCCTCGTGCCAGGGACGACGGGTAGCTCCCTGTGCCACAGGCAGCCTCCTCTGGAGCCCTGGGCCTGGGCTTGTCTTCTGCATCTGACTTCCAGCTAGGAGTATTTCCAGTAGTAAGACATGCTGTCCCCTGAGAGCAGGACGCTAGGGAGCAAGTCAAGGGCCTACCTGCTCCCTTCATGCTCGAGGGAAGCTATTCCTTCTCCTCATCCTTGTGCCCACTGAGGCCGTGCACGTCCATTAGTGACTAATGTGGTGGGAAGGCCGAGCGGGCCTCTCCTGGCCATACACACACGCACACACTCCATTTACCTAGCCGGCCACTCTTAACTGGAGAACAACCTCTTATTTTACACTTGCGTGACTTTCAATGCCAACTTCCACTAGGAGCTGCCAGTAGCCACTGACAAAATTGTCTCACTCAATTATGATGCCACACACTGACCTTAACCTGAACCAAATGTCACATGAGGCTGCTGCACATCTGAAATATTTATCCAAAAAAGCTTTTCAGTCGTAAAGAAATGGTCAGACCCATACAAAGGTGAATCCTACATGCACCCGCCCCACTCACTCCCAATCTGTGGGCACGTCTTGGGAGCTCCTGCCTGAGAAGAGTTGGCAGAGGCCCAACAGCGCTTTCCAGGAAGAGGCTGTGGTGCTTACCCCCAGGCCTCCATCAGGCACCACCTGCTTTAGACCCCACAGGCCCATCATCCCACCGACGTTTCCAGTGCATACAACTAGTGTTCTGATAAAATGTATGTGTGATTGTCTCAGTCACAGTACTAATCACAGTACAAAGTTAATTGCCTTCTTCTTAGTAAAGTTCTGACTTTCCTACCTATCTTCCAGGAACTGTCTTCCTGAGCCCAAATTTCCAGTGGCCAGTGCTAGTGAGTGGTCTCAGGCCCACCCCACGCCAAGCCTGGGCAAGAGCAGGAGGCCCGACTCCCTGTGAGACGGGACCAAGAAGACGCTGGAGTCCCAGCTCCCTGCAGGAAGTGTGGATATTTCCTTCCAGCTCAGATTTGAAATTAGCTCTTGAGCTGTAATCACAACAATTAGTAAAGACTTATTACCTCCAAATGGACTTCCTGTTTCTGGCCCCTTTAATTCTACCCTGCAGACAGCCCCAAGTGTCCTTCCGTAATGCAAATTAGAGCATGCCACTCTGCTGTTTAAAGCACCACAGTGGCTCCTAAAGACCTCACGCCCCAGTCCATACCCTTCAATGCAGCTTCCCAGGTGTGGCATGGTCAGGCCTACACTTCCTCTCCTTCTGCGCCCGGTCCTGAGCCATCCTGAAATGTGTGCAGTGCCCTGGAGGCTTAGATACTCTGCTCTCAGGCCTTGGCACATGCTGTTCCTTCTGCTTAGGACACCTCTCACCCCCATTTTCTCTGGCTCACACCCCAATGTTTCCAGGTCTCTGCTGAGGTATCACTTCAAGAAGTCTTCTCAGATGCTCCTCTTCCCTCTCCCTAACAGCGGGCTCTTTCTCTGAGCTCCATTATGTCCTGGGTGGTTGTTGTGGCCTTGCTGCTATATGTGATCCCTTGCCCAATCTGTGTCCCCTTCTACAGTAGAGGGTGAGCTCGGTGTGGACAGGAACAGTTGGCTTGACCTTTCACCACCATGGCCCCGGGGCCTAGTGCAGCATCTGGTACTAAGTATACCCGGGGTTTGCCAAATGGCAGAGGGAGTGGCGAAAAATGTTCTACCATCTCTTCTGACAAGATGTCATGACATGTTAGCATGGGTGAGGAAACAGGCCTAGGCCCAGATGCCTCCCTTCACCCAGAGCTTCTGGGGTGACAAGCCTTGTGGTTTTTGGGTGGAGTGTGGAGCACAGCATGAAGGTGCCTCTACAGGCTCCCACCTACCTTCACTGTTCCTTCCACTTCCACAAACCAGCGCCTTAACATGGCCTGGATCTGGCCATCAGTCAGCTCAGGGTTGGCATTGTGGATTTTCTTCTTGACCAGGTCCTCCAGCAGGAGACGCCTCAGTCTCCAGTAGAAGAAGGTACGGGATGTTTTCCAGTCTAGGATGTCCTACACAGTGATAAGACAAAGCTTAGTCATTCAGGCTCAGTGCCTGCCCAAAGGGAAGTGCCACGCACCCTCCAAGTTGCTAGGGACTCAAGAGCTGGCCGTGAGCTCCCCAGCTCAGACCCCCAGACCCTGCTCACCACAGCACTGTGTGTTGCACTGGTCTGCCTGAGCTCACCCTACACAGGGACAAGATGATCTGGAGAAGAGGCTGTGAATTCCCAGACTGGTTCAGTGAGGAACAGGTTTTGAGCAGATGGCTCAAACACTTGAATAAAGATCCAATGAAAATTAGCTGCTGTTGGAACCTTGACCCAGGAGTAAATCACAGCCTGAGATATCTGTCCCCAGGAGCAGATGGGACTCAGTTTCCTATCAGTAAAGCTTGATTCCAAGGAGCCCAAGGTTACCTAAATCATAAATTGTTTTACGAGGACTATGGATACAGAAAATGGAAATCCTCTAAAACAGACCAAACCCCGCTGAAAAAACGGTTTCATCCTCACACATTGTTTTAATCTGGCCCTAACAGCTCCCCGCTCGTGAGCCCCAGCGCAGGAGGCCTGCACTTGCTCGCTCGCTGGTCTCTGACAAGTCGGGAGAAGTGGCAACACTGTACTTACGTTAATGACACCCTTCTCCTGCATCCGGCCCGGTGTGTCGTGCAAGTCAGCAAACTGCACAGCTACCTGATGGTAAATGGGAATTAGGAATTCCTCCCGCTCCTTCAGCTTGTTCTCCAGCTCCTTCCGCTCAGCTGCACTTAACTCTGGGGTGCCTGCAATTAAATAAACCTGCCCGTCACACACTGGGTGACCAGGAGTCTCCATACAGATGCCGCCACAGACACAGGCAGCTCAAACTCACTCTCTCTCACACACACTAGAGCTACCCCTTCCGGCTGGCTTGCTCTCATCTTTAGCACCTCTTTGCCGAGTAACAGGATGCCCTCTGTGAGATGCCTGACCTGTCCTCACCCTGCCACAGGGAGCCCAGATGCCCTTGCCCTCTGAAGGTGACTCAGAAAGCAGCACGGGTGTCCCTGTCCCCAGGTCTCTCCCTGAGCAGGTGCAAGCAGCCACCTTAGGCCTGGGTATCACATCATTTATTTCACTTACTGACAGGCCCCTTCTCAGGCAGCACCCAATGTCCACAGCTACCGACCAGAGCAAGAGTAGTGGACTCTCCTCGTGCCTCTGAGCACCGACCAACATCTCGTCTTTCCTCATTTCCACCCTAGTCACCCACCAACTTGAAAAAGACCAGGACCGTTCCTAAAGTTGTACACTGCTTTACTCCACAGTGTTGAATCTCAGGCTTGGGTACCTTTAACCTGAGACTGGTAGAATCCACTCTAATGAAAATTGTATCTGTGTGTCTCATGCCAACTCAGTGGCTTAATCTCTTGCCTGGGCTCCTGTTGCCAGAGCCCACCTCTGCCCACAATGATATGGACATTTTGGTTCTTGGGCTAATGGAGAAGAGGCAAGAAGAGGAAGGCAGTAAACAACCCCTACTAGATCTTCAGGTTTATAAGCACCAGTACCCTCCCTCAGCAGATTGGAGACTGCGGGATTCCTTATAACCAAGAGGGGCCCCTGTCTCCCCCAGTGAATAGTGTTCCAGTAGAGGTGTGCTCTGTGCTTTTCTTCTTAATTACTCTCAGAATGGGACTTGCAATCGATACTGAAAATTTAGCTGGCTAGTAAGGAGGAGTAAGTCTGGCTGAAGGAGCAATAGGTGACAGTCCCTGGTGTAGGGACAACATCAAGTGCTTTGTCACCAAAGCTGACAAATAAATACATGACCACAGGTGATGGGATGCAGAAAAGAAAGGCCTATTGCAAGCATGTCTGTCTGGGAACAGGCCTTGCTTTTTATGCCGCCATGAATCAAATGCCATAAATAGCCTTGGGCTGCTGAGTGAGCCGTCAGTATTATACATAAACACATGTTAATAGAACAGGGATGCAACTCCAGCACCTAGTTTCATTTTTATGGGTTTTTGGATGCCCAATGTCACGTCTCTCTCTCTTTCTCTAACCCATCACTACTTTGAAACTGACGAAGAGAGCTGAAGGCATCTTTCCTTGGGTGCTCACACTGAGGACAATTGTTGCCCAGCTGCTTTGAGGCCCCAAAAGCCTGGTGACCTTGTTTTCCAAAGAGGCAAACAGTGTGACTGAGGGATGAGATGATGGTCCTGCATTCTAGTGTGGAGCTGCCTGAAGAACTGATGGGAGGAAGACTGGCTTATTCTGAGAGGAGACTTCTCAGTTATAATACCCTTGGCAGAGAAGCAATTTTTTTTCCTTCTCCAGTAAAAGGAACCAGGACTCTTTGAAGAAATGGATGAATCTGGGGCTAAGGGAGAAAACTGAAAGATGGGTCTGAACATATCACAAAAAGCAAGGAAGCTCTCAGAAAATGATCAGGACATGTTAAAAGGATATAGGAGTTAGTTTGAAGGTATACTCATTGGCCAAACTTGGGGTAATTTGAGCATCATTCTATCAAAATAGTATACTGATATTTATTATCAGATACAATATTTATGGAATAAAGTAAGAACCTTGACTCCATCCTGATATAAATAATTAACTGGGGGGCAGAGGAAGCTTGCCTTTCCAGCAGAATAGCAATTAATGGACATAAAGAAATGGGGAAATTAGAAAATCACCACTTTACAGCCATCACAGTAATGGATCTTGCCAAGAATTATCAATGGATAATTGATAATTAGTGGGTAAAAATTTGATGAGGAACAGAATATTTACATAGTCTCAAATGATCTCCTTACACACTTCTTAATTACAAAGTGGGTAATGGTAACTTTATAGTGGGTTAACTGGTGAAAACTATCTTAGACAAAATTACCCTCATCAAGAACAGGACAAACTGATACCACGACTCAGTATAAAACATCAAGGATATAACAGCACTTTCCAAAGTCCCTGCCAAAAGTGGATAATCTGACTTGAAAATACAAGACAAGGAAAGGCCAAAGAACCACAATAAAGTGGATTAAAAATACTCGGTAACTGCAAAGTGTAGTCTGGGGTAAGATTTCAGAGCTGGGCCAAAAGAAAGGTATAGACATCTTTGGGAAAACTGGTAAAATTTTAACATGAATCATGAACTAATGATAGTACCACAATAGTACTTTGCAAGTGTTATAGTTCCCAATTTTGATAAATGTGTTGTACTTGCATGAGAGAAAGCCTGCATTCTTAGACTAACACTTATCCATAAAGGAGCATGATGTCTACAGATTACTCTCAAATGGTTCTAAGAAAGTGTGTGTGTGCGCAGAAAGTGACAACATGCACGTGGATATGCAGAAATGAGAAAGCAAATGGGACAAGATGTCAGCTATGGGTGAAACCGAGGAAAAGCCATCAGAAGTTTGTACTAGTCATATATAACTTTACATCACAAAAAGTAAGTCCAAAAAGTAAGCCAAACTAAAAACTTTCTCCTGGCTCCCTAATGTATACAATCAATAATGAGTTAATGTTACATTGTCCCCATTTTATAGGTGAGAAAACTGAGTCTCTGACAACTGATGTGACTACCCAAGATCAGAGAGCTACAGAGTGCACGGCCAGGACACACAGAGGTTTGGTACCTGAGGCCTTTCACTCCATGTGGTGTTGTCTTGCTTACTTACGCAGAAGACAAATACTTGTTCGTCATATCCCTTTAATTTCAGAAAAGGGTAAGTGATGATGGCAGACTCCTGGTTGATAAAGCTGAAGTTCCCTCTTAACCCTATGCCTCAACTGAGACCACAACCATATCTCCAATTCCCATTTGGTAGGTTGGACATGATTTCTTAAATAGCCCTAAGATTTAGGGGTAGCTCCTCCTGTTACTGTGAAATCAAGAACAAACACAACAGGTAAAAATCAGAGCTCTGTAGGGGAGCAAGATATGACCACAAACAGGATCATAGATATGACTGAAGAGCGAGCTCCAGGGCCTTACCACAGTCTCTCGGGGCACACACCCGACACTGCACACGTATACACACACACACACACACACACAGGCACGCCGATACTTAACACGCACCATTTACTGAACATTTGCTATGTGCCGGTGCTCAGTGCTTCCAGGATCACATGGCCTGTAAGTAACCGTTCACAGTTCAGACCCACGTCTGTAGCTGTTGACACTGCTGCCACACTGAATACCTCAATGTTACTGAGCACTTTCCAAGTTGCTTCACAGGTGTCATGTCTAATCCTTATGACAACCCAAACTGACAAACAGGGTATCTATTTTACAAATAAGAAAACCAAGACTCTGAAATGTAAAGTGACTTTCCAGATGGCATCCAGCTCTAAAGTAGTAAAGGTGGGCTTTCTACTTGGATCTGGCTATCTCTGAAGCCTGTGCTCTTCCACAGAGGCTGAAGACAGCCAAGCAGAGATTCTGGCAGTGGTGACAAGACTTTGATTCATTTTGTTAAAGAGGAGTTAAGAGCACTGGGAGCACAGGAAGAAGACTAGAAGTGGAGTATTATGGGAGGAAGGCCTTGGCTTTTCCAAGGTGGAGTGACAGAGAAGGCTGCCTTCTGGACCAACAACAGTCTCATGCACCCAGTCAAGCTATTCTGGAGCTCTCGAAGAATAACGTATTGACACCTGTGATGCTCTGGTCCTCCAGAGACTGGAACTTGACAAAACATCTCGCAAAGTTGCCTGGTTTGATACCTTCAGTAATATCTCTGATCACTGTTCAAGAGCTACCTCAAAAAGGCATTAAAGCAAGGAAAAGGCAGAAGTAGAGAATGTATGTATTTTAAAATACACATGAGAAAGTCAAGGATTTGTTTGAGGGGTAGAAGGGAGGTTGTCTAAATTTTGTTTTCTAAAAACAAAAGGCTGCTCTTAAGCCAGTTAGACCCTTGTGTAGCAAACCGAGGGCCCCTCTCTCCTTGTACAGCAAAGCAGCCAGCCCCGGTAATGATTTAGAGGAGATTAACAAATATGTCAATGTCTATTTTCTGCTTAATTTAAAAGCGGCGTCTATAAAGATTTTTGACTTCTGAACCCTGTTCTCCTGAAAGAAAGAAGGTAAGAATGAGGAGGGGGATAAAGAGTGATTATCCTATCATTGATCGTTTGTCAGGAGCATTTCTTATTCACTGGGCTATTGTAAAAAGCTAAGCTCTCGATCAATCCTGTAAGCTCCCTGTACAATTAAATATCTTGGAATGGTTTTCATTCTTTTCTAGCCAGATTGCAGGGCCTCGGGGTTTTTAGGAAACCAAGTCGGTGTGTGTGCGTGCGTGTGTTTAAGAATATGCTACAGAGGGGAAAGTCATTCTTTTCTAGAATCCTACTTTAGGAAAAGGCTTAAATGGGAGAGGAGAGGTAGGTTGTTCACATCTCTTCCCCAAATAAGATCTCCCACCAAATAATAAAAATTCCACCTTAAAACTAACATTTTTTAATGTGAAGATTTAAATACAGAAGAAGCATTACTGCTTTGATTAAGTAAGTGTAGATACTATTATTAAGATATTACGACGTTCATCTCATGGTAACAATCCTCGAAACAATCCTAAAAGATCACAAGTCTACAGATGAAAAAATTGTGGTGCACAACAGTGAAATGACTAGCCAGAGCCACAAAGGTAGGGAATGGGGCAGGGCTTTTGGCTTAGTGTCCTGGCTTCAGAGCTCATGCAATTTAAATGAAACAAACACCCAAAAGTGTCCAAAGACAGTAGCCTGTCAGATTTCTCAGGGCCAGGACATACTGAAAAAC